TTTCATGGTTCCATGCTCTCTAACTTCTGGATAGGTTCTACCAGTGGGTATTAGTAGGAGTTTAGAGGATGGAATAAAGGGAGAAGCCACAATATTTCTCCTCCTCTCTCTACTTCAAGCAAGGACTCAGGTAGTGGCTGTGTCTCTCCAAAAAATAACCAGATCCTCCTAGTCAGGACATTAGTTTAAACTTCAGCTTTCAGCTTGATGGCCATGGCTCCTGGGCTCCAGGAACATTTCCTCCTCCTGAGGAAACTGAGAGCTTCCTGCTCTTGCTAATCTCTTGGTTACCTGTCCACTTTGGTTTTTCAACATCTTCCATTACTTGTATAATCAATTCCAAACATTTAATACCCTCTTTTTGAAATACTGGGTGGTTCTGCTTTCCTAATGGAACCTGACTGATACTGTCATGTTTTTTAAGTGCCAGCACCACTGAATTATGTGTTTGTGTATGGGGCCCTCCCACACCCTCCAGTATAAGCCGATAAGAGATCAAGAATTACCTCCATAAGGACAGTTATTCTCAGAAGTCCCTGTTAACATACAAGTCCTTTGTGTAACAAGTCCTTTTTTCTAGGTCATACCTTCCATAAGGAACTTGGGGTTGACTTATGATTTATCTGATCTCATTGAGTCACAAACCCAGAGTTTCTGCAACTCTCACTCCATGAAAACAGCTAAGCCAAACCGGTCCTCTCTCCACCCAAAGGTGCTTGTAATGAAAACACACTCATTTGAAACAAGAAATTTTAATGTACCCACTTTCTTCCACCGGGTGACCTATGGAGGTGGGAGTGGTTAAGCAAGGACAGGTCGGGCAAGAAGACTCCTTTCAGCCCATGACAGGAGTTGGGGGGAACTCTGCTTGTTATAATTCGTCTCTAGGAAGGTAAAGGTGAGTTCCTAGCCACATCAGAGAAATCTCCAATTACTTCAATAAAGAATGCATTCCATTTACCGACAATGAGTATTCCTTATACATCAATCATGGTGCAAAGTGTAAGGGTGCAGGTAAGAATGAGGCACGTAAGCAAAATTGTGAAGTAGCTCAAGTTCATCTCGGTTATCCCAACACTCAGACCACCGACTCTTTTATATCATGTTGACATTCCGCTGTCAGTCTTTATTCCCACCAAAACCTGTCATGTAAAAATCAGTTATACTTAAGTGTAAAAATTATCCTCTGAGGGGAGTTTACATTTCAGTGGGTATTAAAAACCTCAACATAAGGGATTTAATCTTCTTCAGTAAAACTAAAATAAGAACAACTTGTGATACTTATCCAAGTGCCTGGATGGTTTTCTAGCCTCTGAAATGAGACCACTATTCCTTGGTCTACATTTTCTGCAGCTCCACTCAGAGGTATGAAAAACCTTTTACAAAATATTGCATTTCACTGCCACCTATGATAAAATGTGTATAGGCAAAGCCACATTTTCAATAACTTTGTGTTAGAAATAAGGAACCTCCCTGCGAACAGTCCAGTGAGTATTTCAAAATGTAACCTTGCTTTTCGCTTTCCCCTCCTTGCCCCACCTCCTCTCAGGGGACAAGGCAGCCCAGGGCAGGACATCACAATCCAAGCTGAGAGAAAAGGGCATCCATGCCTGTGGGGGTGAGAGGTTGGATGTGGTGATGGGATAATGGTTACACACAGAAGAAGTGGCCAAAGAAGTAAATGTATTGAGGATAATGGGAGCCAGGTTTCTCACTGTTGGAGAAGGGGATTAGAAATATGGAAATGGAGAACTAGAATGAACCCTGTAGTATTGGATTGAAATTAGAGATATGAGTGTGAAATTGTGATTTTTTAAAATATAGATGCAGAAATATAGATGTTGTACATGTGAGTACACATTGTGCATGTGTGTTTGTGTGTGCATTCCTGACCTCTGTTCACTGAGAGGATCTAGGAGTAGCAGTGCTCCAATAGCCATGCACCCATCTATCACCCAGATGTTAGTTTTTTCAATACTATTTTCCACCAAAAGAAACCAGGGCTCCTTGGAGAAATGTTAGATTCCAGGGCAGGGGAAGGTGCAGAATGAGCTGAGCCAGGAACATCACACTGCTGTCAGAAAGTAAGAACATGGGGACGAAGTGTCAAAAGGGCACAGAAGCCAGCTTGGAGATGCTCCTCCTGGCCAATTAAGAAAAATATGCATGTGAGAATAGATGGTAATAGTGTCAACAGTCTTACAGCCCACTGAATAAAACAAGGATCCCTTAAATCCATAGTGGAAACAAATGAATAAATTGGAGGTTTAATCAGAAACAGCATATTTACATAGTCTCAAAGCACATCCCCACACAAATACTTGTTAATTACAAAGGAGAAAAGAGTAACTTTGCAGTGGAGAAGCCTAGCAGACACCAGTGTTAATCAAGTGCTGAAGTAAATATACTCCATTAGAGAACAAATCAATTTGCCTGATAGGACCAAGCATTGCTTTTGTGATCTTCCTGCCAACAATGCAAAATCTGGATCTAATCACAAGGAAATCTCGAACAAACCCAAATTGAGGGGCATTCTGTAAAATAACTAGCCTATCATCTTCAAAAGTGTCAAAATCATAAACAGCAAAGAAAGACTGAGGACCAGTGCCCTACCAAAGGAAACACAGCTAAGTGAACGAGTTACCCTCGAATGGCACAGTCAGTGATAATGAAGCAAGGTTAACCTCATGGTTGTTTTAGCTGTACTATGGCTCTGTAGGATAATGTCCTAACTTGTGAAAATATACACTGAAGTTTGTGGGATGATGCATTAACAGGTTGGCAACTTACTCTCAAATAATTCAGTGGAAAAAATTGTGTCTGCAATTTCTCTGTGAGTTTGAAATTGTTTTCTAAATAAAAAGTGTAAAAATATAATCTCCTTCTGTATCTTGCATATACAATTTCAAAGTTTGTCTTGTAATCTTTATTGTGGTTGAATCCAATTTAAGCTAAAATACAAAATGCTTAACAAATATAAATCCAATACAGGTGGGAAACAAGATTATCCATGCTAGTGTTTACAACTCTTTAATTTTTTCAAAAGATAACAACTTAGACTTTAGATAACACTTAGACCTTTTTGCCTCTAAGAGATAAATTATCAGACAATCTTCAAGGAAATCAGTGCTGTGTAGACGTTTTTCATCTACTAAAGTCGAATTTGTAGCATAGAACTGATGGAATACTGTAGCAGAAAGCATAAATTACGAAGTGGTAATGCTCATACACAGTAATTAGAATCCCCATCCTACATGCTATTTACTTTCTCTGAGAAAACAGACTTCTTTCTCTGACTAGGATACTTCACATGTCTTTCCAAACTAAAGAAATTCATTCAACCCTGGTACTTTTAAAATCAGTGAGAACTTCTGGTTACACAGGTAGATTTAACAAGTATTCCTTTAAGAAAAAACAATCTTCAAGGGATAACTTGCACTTTACTTGTTACATGAACTTACAGTGCATTTGATTGCAAGCAGCAAGATAATTACCAAAGATACAAAATAAAGTTTTTTAAATATTCAATTAATTAAATATTTTTTACTTGTCAATCTCCTGCAAGGCCTCAAGCTAGATACTGTGAAGGGGAAACAAAACCCAAAGGAGCTTTCATCTTCAGCATCTCATCTTAATGCAATCATTATCTATCATTATTACACAATTTACTGATAATCGGTGATCCTACCAAGAACTATCACAGGGAATTCCATGGTGGTCCCGTGGTTAAGACTCAGTGCTTTCACTGCTATGGGCCCGGGTTCGATCCCTGGTCAGGGAACTAAGATCGCACAAGCCATGTGGTGCAGTCAAAAAAAAAAAAAGAAGACTATCATAGAATACTTCCAATTATTAAAATCTACATTCAGGGGAAGAGAGGTGTCTTAATAAATCATCAAAATTAAGGAAACTCAGTTAAACTTTTCTCAGAAGATGACAGAAGTGTAGCACATGTTCAAGTCTTAAACGTGATGATTAAGTTAATGCTTAGTGTCACTGTATTTTTACCAGAAAGAGCAGAAGGACCTCCCCCATCCTCCTTCACCAAAAACAAACAAAAATATATAAGAGATAATAGGTTAAAGTGAATATCAAGTGCCAACTTACAAAATTAAGAGATGGAGGGACATGTGTGTAAGGGGAGAGGGGTGTTGCCATGGAAATCGGTTGAAGGGTTTGTGACTGATTATATCTATGAAACTCAAGTAATGTTTCCCCATCAATTGACAAAACAATGACCTTCACAGGACTGCTCCCTGCTCTGTTGCCAAAACACAGGACAAAATTAGCCAACCTGTGCCTCATGCCCATGGGCAGCTCTGCTTGCACTGGTACCTTGTAATCTGTTTCAAACCATGCTAATGCCATCAAGTGACAACCACTTTGTCTGATCAATTATTAGCCAGTTTATCATTAACATCACCAAGTAAATGAGATGTATGGCATAAGTCATTAAAGTTTAAATAGCCATTTATATCCTGGAGAATTCCTCACCAAAATTGTATTGACTCTTTTTGAGCTGTGGAATAGATGCTTTAATTCGCTATATCCCAGCCCCACCCCGATAACTCTCCTCTTGTTCATTTTATTAGAGGTATCCTGCAGTGAGAATCAGCAACACGATCCAAATAAAAATTCACTTTAAAAGGAAATAGTATCTACTTTTATGAATTGGAATGATAACAAGATATTAAGCGGAATCACTTGTTTAGGAAAAGGTACCACAATCCTATCATTCTGGGAATGCATTTAAGTTTTTCACCAAACATCACTGAGAGATGTGACTGATCAGTCTTTATGGCAAGGGAAGATTTTTAATACATTCTGAGGTTTGCAATGCCCGCCACGTTGTCACGCAGGTTGAAGTAGATGTATTCTGTGTGTTTTAAAACACACCAGTGTTTACTGCTTATATACCCAAGTATATACTGCTTATATAGTGCAAATCTGAGACAGATGACTTAAGTTAGTTTAATTTAAAAGATCTGATTTTCTTTGTGCTGAAGCTGACAGCAAAATGGCACCCCATAAATTAGAATTCTAGGAAAGAACTGTTAGTAGGGGTTTTTGTGTTTGTTTTGTTTTGTTTTGTTTTCTCTCCACAGACACGTTTGGGGTGGTCTGTTGGTGACAACTTTTAATGGAAAGAGGCTCTCACTTTTCGGCCCTTCAGAGGCTGTGGTGGACGATGATTGCTCAACAGAAAAGCCGCTGCTTTGCCCTCCCCTGTACACAAGAGGGTGCGGAATGTGGCCAGCTGTTGAAAAAAAGAGAAGAGTTAGTTTTAGCATAGAAAGTCACACCAATGTTAATGAATTGCCCTGCACAGAAAGTTAAGAAACTTATAAGCTTTCTTCTACTGGGAACTAAATGTACTTCAATGAAAATTTTCTAAGTTATGGGTCATACATCATAAAGCAACTCTTCTGCTAGATTCTTATCACAATACAAATACCTATGGGTTCAAAAATTAAGTATATAAGCTTTCTTCATTTGAAGATCAAAGTAATAAGAGAAAACAACATTTAGAAAGTGGTTTAAAGAGTACATATCTAGAGAGAAAATGTCACCTGCAAAGGCATAATGGGACAGTGGAAAGGGTTTTCCAAGCTGGGTCCCAGTCCTGGTTCTGCTACTAGTGAGCTGTGTGACCTTGGGAAAATCATTTATTGTCTCTAGTTTCCTCATCTATAAAGTGAAGCATTGGATTAGATTACCTCAATAGGTGTCATCCAGCTCTTGGAATTACACTGAATACTCACGAGCACTCCAATATAACATGGCCCAAATTTTCAAGGGAACCATGTGGTACTCATCCTACAGAATTTTCATCTTTTATGCACTGTTTTCCTTAAACAGTGATTTTTCTCTCACCATATGTGTGCCTTGTCAGCAACTAACTCTGGGAAAAAACTAGGAGTCTTCAACCACTTATAATATTTCAATACAATTTAAGCGATATAGGCATATTTCTCAACACAAGGGCTTACTTTTTCTTATCTCTCTCACACACACACACACACAATGCTTAATTATCTTACAAACTTCATATAGTACACAAAGTGTCAAGAAGAAAATAGAAATTACGAGAAATCACATCACAAAATATAACCACTGTTAACATTATGGAGTATATCCTTCTAGATGTTTCCTTATGTACAAGGACTATATGCACATGCACCAGTACACACGCTTGACATGTTTTATTGCAAAATAAGCTCAATTATACTAACTCTTTTGAAACCTTATTTTATCACTTAATATATATCCTTCACATGTCAATAGATATATCTATGTCACTATTTTTAATTGCTGAAAAGTTTTCTATTATAAGCTTGTTTTATAAATTATTTAGCAATTCCTTTGTGATTTAATATTACTTTTTAAGACTAAGCACAGGTCTACAGTAGTAAAATGAAGACTGGGTAAATTACCTGAATAATTTTACTGTCTCAAAAACGTTCACTAAAAACATATTGCCACACAAGTAAGTTTTTGGTGTCTGTTTTGCTGTTTTGAGTGAGTACAAAGTATTAAATTGTTGAGAATGAGAGTCTTCATTCTCTAAGTTTTGTTAGTCACCTAATCAAAGAGTCAAGGAAATTCAGACTAGGACACATATATTAGGTTTCCATCATCATCATTTACCTGAAGCCTAAAATATTTCTCTTAACAGTAGTAGCCAGGATGGGAGACAGAGGTGATGCAGGTCCTTCATAATAAATAGGCAACAGTTTATAACCACACCCTATGGAGATATGTTCAGTTATCATATACAAGCAGCTGTGTATTTCCACAAGTCATATTTTGAGGTGTCCTTTCAAAGAGTATAGATATGGGAAGAATAAGACAAATATTTACAACTTGCTATTACTCATGTTTCATTAGACCAGATCATTATGGCTAAAGCCAGATGGGACATATATAATTCTCTGGTAAAGTGAAGTTGCAGAGGCTAATGAAATCTAACCTCCACAGCCACAGAGAAGATGTCCAGTCTTCTGCAGATCATGGTGATCCAGGTCTACCTGGACTGGCCACTCCAGGTGACTGTGCTGGAATCCCAAGTCCTGAATCAGGGCACTGATTTGCCAGCCTCACCGAACACAACTATCCTCCCAGGGAAACTGCCTATTCCTCTGAAGATCTTGGCTTTATTTATCCCCCTATCCCCCTTTGACTCCTCTGCAAATTGATCATGGCTCCCTACCTCTGCAACACCTTAGCCTCATCCATCTAGAACTAGAACTTACTCTAGATCTTTCTCTGACCAGCCTGCTCATTTTGGTAAGAGTCTCTGAACCTGTCCTGATGTCTCATCAAACCCCTTCCTTTTTTGGTGCTGGATCGTCCTCCTGGTCCCTTAGCCCAGCTAGGTAGACCCTGACCTGCTAGGCTCTGCTTAGATTGGCTCCTATCAGTGTCATACCCTCACCAGGCCTCTGGCTTCCTTTAGGCAGAAAATCTGTCCCTTTGTCACTAAGGCTGACTCAGTATCTAAACAGCTCCTGGCAAGAATCTCCCCAGCTCAGGGTGAAGGCTGTTTTGCTGTTTTCTTTGGCTCTACTACTGAAAGTTTAAATTTCTTCTGTAGTGACCCCAGTAAGCAGAAATACCCTTTTCTAATGTTTTGTAAACAGCTTTGATTAGTCACTGTACTGCTCAAATGTCTTTAGTAGCTCTCCACTGCCTGCCGAAGTTGACTAACTAAAAATAAGCTCTCTCTTATAGAACATGGTGGGCCACATACTATGCTAAGTGTTTTACATTACATATCACATTTAATCCTCCAAAGAAGCTTATCAATAATATACCATTATACCCATTTTAAACATGAGGAACTCGAGGGAGAGTTAGGAAATTTCAGTAAATAAGTCATCTGGCAAATAAGCCATGCACTAACCACAGCACTACACTGTATCTCTAAGTGTTTTTTCTTTTTTTCTTTCTTTTTTTTTTCCATTTTCCCCTAATCTCTTCTTATTTGCTTCTTATTATGGAAACTGGCAGATATACAGAAGGGTAGATAGAGTAACATAATAAACCATCACCCAGCTTCAACATTCATAAACACGCGGCCAATTCTGTTTCATCCACACTCTCACCCATTCTCTCTCTCCAACTCCGAATCCTGCCCAAACTGTATTATTTTTAAGCACATTCCAAATATCATATCATTTCAGGTGTAAACATTTCAAAATATATCTCTAAAATATATAACATTTCAAACCCTATTAAGGCTCCAAAACAAAATTGTTAGCATGGCTTCCAAGCCTCTTGACCACCCAATTCCAACTAATCCTTCTAGATTATTTCCTATTATTCCACACACAAGTCCCACTCTAGGTCAGTTTTGTGAAGGGGGGTCCAAGAGCATCTGAATAGAAAGATTTTGAGGTGATTCTTAAAACTTGAGATTCCTGGACCCCCCCCCCCCAACACTCAGACTTTTGAATCAGAGTTTCTAACAAGGCCCAAGGATCCACATTTTGGTAAGCTTCATCAGGTGATTCTTGCATACTCTCAATTTTGACAACCACAGGTACAAAGTTACCCACATATTTTTTGCACTTCTCTTTTTTGCCTTTATTTATGCTATTCTTTCTTGAAATACCCCTTTCCTTTATACTCCCAACCTGTCCCCATTTTTTGAAGCAACCCAAATGTAAGCTCTTTCATGAAGTCTCTTCCTGATTTCTCCACTGAAAACTAGTCTCTCCCCTTCTGAAATTGCCTTACACCTTATATTCTCTTACAGTACCAAGCAAAGCCACTGTGTTACAGTTTTTTATGCATTTATTTTACCCCCTCTGTTAGATTATAAACCACGGGAGGACAAGGGCCTTTTTAACACTTGTTTATACCTCTTGCATCACGCCTTGCAAAAACTGGCAATTATTAAACAATTCTAGAATTGACTTATACTGTCTTCTAAAATTTAAATCTTTAATTTCAAAGATAATTAGATAGCTTTATATAGTAAGTCAAAATTAATATTCAAGTGAATGAATTCTTTCCTCAATTCACACATAGTCTGAAGATGCAGAAGTTAGGGAAATTTTCCTAGATTGTTAATTATCATTAATTACAAAATAAAAAATTTTACTATTAAAAAAGGACATTAGAGTTTTGATTCCAGATATACTGGACTAAGACTCTGCAGACAACCTTCCTGTAGAAAAAGACAACTGTGAAACCCAGACACAATACAAAAATCAACCAGCTGCAGGTACTAAAGAGTGAACAGAAGTAGAGGGATTCAGATGGGGAGTTCATGCTCACTTGGAGAGATGGGAGCCCTCAAGTGAGTTCCTGTCTCTCCAGTTTTTCACTTGGACAGGGTGGAGTCTCTGCAAGGTGCATAGAGCTGCTATGGGGTATACCTGTCTTGAAAGGAAAGAGCCAGAGAGAGGATCCCCAAACTCATACCCAAGAACTACACATGTACTGAGACTGAAGCTACTGCACAAGAAGGAAAATCTGCAACTCAAGCCCAGCCAAGAAAATTACATGCCAACACAAAGGAAGCAGTGCTCATCAGAGAAAAATAACAGATCCAGAATCTCCACAACTTAATGTTCGTAACATCTAGAATGCAATAGAAAATTACTCAATATACAAAGACTCAAGAAAATGGAATACATTTTAAAGAAAGAAAAATCAACAAAGTGAGACTCAAGATTACCCAAATTTGGAACTTACAAGAATTCTAAAGTGGCTACTTCAACTACCTGTGGGTTATATGAAGTTAAACAAAGCATACTTTTTAGTGCATGAGAAATTTCAGCAGAGTAATGGGAAGTCTCATCAGAGAAATAGAAATAACAAAAAAGAATCAAGTATAAATTTTAGATCTAAAAAATATAATTTCTAAAACAAATATTCACTGGATAAAATTAACAGGCAAACTGACATGACAGAGAAAGAGCAAATGAACTTGAATATAGATCAATTGAAATTATCCACAGTGAAGAACAGAGATTTTTAAAAAGATTTCAAACTAATAGAGCCTCGGAAGGAACCTGTTAGATGTTATTAAAAGGTCAAATGTTTGCATAATTAGAATATCATATATGAACGCAACCTAAGTGTCATCAACAGATGAATGGATAAAGAAGATGTGGTGTGTGTGTGTGTGTGTGTGTGTGTGTGTGTGTGTAATATTATTTGGCCAGAAGAAAAGAATGAAATTTTGCCATTTGCAACAACATGAATAGACCTGGTAAAATAAGTCAGAGAAAGACAAATACCATATGTTTTCACTTATGTGTGTAATTTACAAAATAAAACAAATGAACAAATATAACAAAACAGAAACAGACTCAAGATAAGAGAACAAAACAGTGGTTACCGAAGGGAGAGGGCTTGGGGAAGGGCAATATAGGGGTAGGGGATTAGAGGTACAAACTACCAGGTATAAAATAAAGAAGTTATAAGGATGTAATGTAGAGCACAGGGGAATATAGCCAATATTTTGTAATAACTTTATGTAGAGTATAATCAATAAAAATAATAAATCACTATGTTGTATACCTGAAATTGATATAATATTGTAAGTCAACTCTACTTCAAGTAAAAAAAAGAATATCGGAAGGAAAGAAAATGGGACACAACACACATAAAAATTAACTCATAAATAATAGAACACTTAAATGTAAAAGCTAAAACTATTACTTAAAGTAGGAAAAAGTATTTTGTGGTATATAGTTAGGCAAAGATTTCTTATCAGGAAACCAAAAGCACAAATGATAAAAGATAAATTGATAAAATGACCTTCATCTAGATTAAGAACTTTTTAACTTTTGCTCTTCAATAGATATAGTGAAGCGCTTCTCTGGTGTCGCAGTGGTTGAGAGTCCGCCTGCCGATGCAGGGGACACAGGTTCGTGCCCCTGTCTGGGAAGATCCCACATGCCACGGAGCAGCTGGGCCCGTGAGACATGGCCCCTGAGCCTGCGCATCCGGAGCCTGTGCTCCGCAACGGGAGAGGCCACAACAGTGAGAGGCCTGCATACCGCAAAAAAAAAAAAAAAGATATAGTGAAAAAAAAGAGAGGCAAACCACAGACTGAGAGAAAATACTCTGCTAGAGTGTTTTGAATGCTCCCTCTTGGAAAAGGCCTTTAACTCCAAACCTGAAGGAGGAGCAGGAGTGTTTATGTACTATATGATTCCATTTAAATAAAATTTTAAAATGATAACATTCTAGTGACAGCATCTCAGTGGTTGCCTGGGGCCATGGATGAGGAAGAAGATGGAGTACAGAGGGGCACAAGGAAACTTTTTCAGCCAAGGGATCCATTCTATGTCTTGATTGTAGTGGTTGTTACAATAACCAAAATCATCAGTTGCACACTAAAATTCATGAATTTTATTGTATTCAAATATCGTAATAAACAAAAAAAGAAAAAAAATTCTTTAAAAAGGAGTACAGAATTAAAGCCAAGTATTCTGCACATCAAATTTCAGCAGGTCAGTAAGCCACTATAGATAATCTGGCATAAACCAAAGAGACTTGGCAAGAGAAGTCAGCCTTCCAAAGAATGACAGATCTGTTATCAGAAGTAGCAAAAAACAGTGTATCTGTTTACTGGCCTGGCAGTTAAATCAAGCATTCCTGTAAATGACTCTCTTTCTTTAGGGAGAAAAATGGACTTGGATCAAGAAAAAGAAAATGAAAACCATCTGATTTGCCCTTTAGGTCAAACAATGACTTGGCAAAACATAGCAGCAGGAAAAAAACCTAGAAAAAACTTGGCACCAACTTACTAAAAAGAGGATTTAATCTTCACAGATAGTGACATTATATGGTGGAATTGAAAAATAAATAAAAATACTATTTTCCAGTGGTTTCTAAAATAAAGAGCTGCTAAAATTGAGATTAAAAATTATCTTTTGAAAAGTAATCCTTAAATCAATGGTATACACAAAAGACATTTTCATTTTACTTTATATAAAAGAGTTAAGCAACTAAATAATCTTATCAACCCTTTCATGCTTTGGATTTTTAAAATATGCTTTCTATTTTAGAACAGTTTTGGATTTACAGAATTCTTGCAAAGATAGAATAATTAGTTCTCGGATACCCCACACTCAGTTTCCCCTTTTATTGTTTTTCATTCACTTTTAAGGATGCACACAATAGTTTCCTGTTATTAACATCTTGCATTAGTATGGTACATTTTTCACAATTCGTGAACCAATATTAATATGTTATCATTAACTGAAGTCCATCCTTTATTCAGATTTCCTTTGTTTTTACCTAACATCTTTTTCTGTTCCAGGATCCTATCAGGAAATGGCATCATATTTAGTTGTCTTGTCTCCATGAGCATTTCGTGATTATGACAATTTCTCAGACTTACCTTGTTTTTGATGACCAGTTTTGAGGACTACTGATCAGGTATATTGAGAATGTCTCCCAACTGGGCATTTTCTGATGTTCTTCTCATGGTTCAAATGGGATTTGACTCTTAAAATATCTTTTGCTTCATTCTTTAAATCTTAAAATCACCATAATAATTTGGATTATTACGATATTATAATCATCATGATAATTTGGATTATTAAGATATTATAATCATCATAATAATTGGGATTATTACTCAGATAATCATTTCAATCTGGTTAAAAATAAAATGTCTGAAAGTGTTCCTGCTACAGTAGATTTAAGTGAATGCCTCAAAGTGAATTACCACTTACACTAAAGCTCTAAAATACAGCTATTATTTTATAAACTCTAACTGCATAAAAACAACATTAATAATTAACATTAATGAATTGAGCTTCAAATAAGATACAGTAGTGAATTCACAGCTAGGCAGTCAGTCATTCCTAAACTTGCAGGGAGTTATTTTTGATTCAGTTAACTTTATGTATTTTAAGTAACTAAATATATATTTTGATATATATTGTTTTCCAAATCACAGGTGGATTGAAAAAAATTATTTTCCAGCTGGCTTTAAGGAATAAAGAAATTCTTGAAATATGAGGGAAAACATGATTCCCTTAATATTACTAACTTGATGTTATAATGTATTAACTCTTACTATTAACCTATTCAAATTTAATAAAAGAATGTAAAAGTAAACAGTTTAGCACATGAAGGGGAGGAAAATGAACCCCATTAATAAAGCCACTGAATCTGTGACAGGTCATTTTTCTCATGATGCAACTCACCTCATTTATGATGGAAAAAATTCACAGGAATTTCCGTGTCAGTCAAGCTCAGGATTTCTACCCAGACTTTTATAAAATGTTTTAATACGTATGCCCCAGATTATTATTTGGCTTTCATTCTAAAGACAAGGTCTACAGAAGTTGGATGTGTTCAACACCCCAAGGGGAAAAGTTACCTAATGTGACCTTCGTAAAGGTGAAACAGCTCTAGTCTTTGATTGGATGAAAGATATAAACCACTAGGCAGGTGGGCCAGCCCAGGACAGGAGTACTTTATTAGATGCAAAAATTACTAGGTTATGTTCTTACTAAGATTTCGCAGCATATAATTTGAAACGGAAAACAAAACAAAACCCGTTAGGTACAGCATCCCAGAGCACAGAGCATCCACCCGGCAGATTCGTCAGTCACAGGATGGGTTCACAGCTCTGGCCAGAGTCTCTGGGCACCAAAGACATTCCGAGACTGACTGACCGACTGACTATGGGGGCTCTATAAGCATTTATCAGAAGAACCAGTGAGGAAATGTCCTCACAAGAAGAGTACAGGCAGCCACCCACAGCCTCTTAGCAAATGCTTAAAGCCCCTCAGGCAGCTTCACAACAGTTTTGTCAATAAAAGCCAAAAGATCAGATGGACTTCTTAAATTTAACAAGTACACACATTTCTTAGGGTGCTATGCCCAAGGCTGTTCTCACCGTCCCCTTTCTAAATGTGAGGTCTGTAGGGGAGGCAGGTGCAGGGACTGAGGTCAAAAAGGAGACTATCACCTTTTGAGAGAAGCTTCTCTCCTGATTTTCCCATTTGTATCCCAGACTGTTAATATCTCAGACCACACAAAAGAAAATAAAAACAAACAAGTATAGCCCTTAAAGTGGCACTTCACTTCCACCCGTGCCTGTTTGCACATTGCATTTCTAGGAAATGGGAAAGAAACCATCTAATCATAGAAGGTCAAATAAGAAAGGGACATAAATCTCATCTGGTCCAACCACCCATCTGACTAATGAAGAGAAAGGTAAAGCCTTAATTTCAGGCTTCACAACAGCAGAAATGAGGTCAGGGTTTGAAGAAACACACACACACACACACACACACACAAGATTAAGCCCAATTTTCTCTAGTGAATCAGGATCAATGTGGAAAAAGCGATATACCTGTTGAGAGCTGATGTTTATAGGTTGTTTTAAAACGATCCATGTGACGCTCTCTAGAAGAGGTGGGACTGTAAGGGAACCAGGATATGTCCAATAATCCCAGCGTGGAGGAAGCAGAGATAATGGGTCAAAATTTGTGAATCGAGTTTGTTTACCCTGAGGAAGAAAAGAGAATTCCCACAAATTACAATGGGAAAGCTTTACACAGACCTCAAAAAAACATACATCCATTGAAATATTATTTCACTAGAATTCTGTAATTCATGGAATTATTTAGTATCTGCTTTTCATATCTTAAAAAAAAAAGAATCTGCCTTAATCTAAAAATTTAAGATGAAGTAGCGCATCACCTAGATTTATTTAAGAAGCTCAAGATTTATTTTTTAATGTACGTGGTCTTTAAAATGTGTTGCAACTAAAGGCTTACTCTGCAAAACTCCAATAAAAGAAACTAATTATGCAAAAATAGATGTATTAGTTATTGTTTTAGATAACTTAAGACCCCTTCATAATTTTCAAGAGATAAATGGTAATAAACTACTTCTGTTCTATTGGTCAAGTATGTTCCAAACCTGCTTCCAAGCCGGCAGCATATGCTATGTCAAAGTCTAAATTTTTAAAAGAAGATAAGAGAATTCAGGAGAAACCAAGGAATATATTAGTCACTAGTAAATAGCAATTAATTTTACCTTTTCTTTAATGGAATCCAAAATATCAGTAATCTTTTGAAGTTGGGGATTATGCTCACCAATCTGAAAACACAAAATTTCAGAAGAAATGGTTACTGTAGTACATCAGGTCTGAATCACTCCATTTCAGTCACTATTTTTAAATTCTTTAAAAAAAAAAAAAAAAAAAAAAACCCTAAGCCAGCCCAGAACAAACAAACAGTGATTGTTCTATAGTGAGGCTCTCTTTCACCTGCCAGCCTTATCAAGCCAGAAAAATCTAAACAACAAGATAATATTACAGGGCTCCTTGGCTGAACTATAACTTTGATTCCAAAACTAGCAGTAACAGCTTCATATTTGTCAGCTTTATGAATGTTCAGGGTACAGATTCTCTTGAGAGAAACTTTGCTTAGGAAACTCTTACATAACACCTGCACTATTAAACCAGATGTGACTTTCAGACCCTAGATCCAAACCAACTATTGGTGACAATCAAAACATTAGAGGAAAACATCTCCCACTTTCAGCTTAAAATGACTTGAGGTCCTGAATCAAGGAAATATATCATCATGAGGAGAATCCTTCAGAAAAATATATATACTTCTTTTCATTTATTTGGGGTGTCCTGAATCTCTCTGAAGGTTTTAAGTCCTTGGGATTCAAGTATAATGCCTTGCCCCACTTGGATCTCACTGCCACCACCAGACTTGGGGACCGAAAAAAGGAGCTGCTGCTATGCATGCCAGTCTCTGCTCTGCCCCATGCTTCCCCCTGTCCCAGTGCAACGACTTACAACACCAACATCAGGCAGAGTCAGGGGCATATCGAAAGTGCACACCCTAAGGAATGTGGTCGCAGTGGGAGCTGAGCGGCACAGCCCACCCACAGGTATTATGACAGTGATACCTCCTGTGAATATCAGACAAAGGAAAATACAACAGAATCTTTTAAAATGGTCAGTGTGTTTGGGACAAAATACTATTGTGGTCAAACTAGTGCTTCAAGAATCAGGAACTTGGGCTTCCCTGGTGGCGCAGTGGTTGAGAGTCTGCCTGCCAATGCATGAGACACGGGTTTGTGCCCCGGTCCGATCCCACATGCCACAGAGTGGCTGGGGCCATGAGCCATGGCCACTGAGCTTGTGCGTCCGGAGCCTGTGCTCCACAACGGGAGAGGCCACAACAGTGAGGGGAGAGGCCACAACAGTGAAAGGCCCACATACCACAAAAAAAAAAAAAAAAAAAAAAGAATCAGGAACTTGAATTTTACCCCCTATCCTGTCTCCAAATATTGAGCAGTCAGGAAGAGCCTATTATAAAGATTTTCTTCTCAAGATCTCAGTTGTTACTTCTGCTACTATTGTTGCTGCATCTGCATTTGCTATTCACAAAAAAATGATCAATGGACAATGAGACGTATCATAAGACAATGTTCCTAGGGTAGTTCTGGGCCCTTAGATGAACCATAAACTAATATACAAAACTTTAAAATTCACTTCAAAGGGAAAACATTAAACCTAGAACTAGTTTACTATTAAAAAATGGTAGACCATCTACCCCATGATTGAAACTCTTTATCCAACATGGCTGACTAGTTATTCAAAATGAAATTAATGATTCTCACCTGTAAAAATACGCCCAAGACAGCTAGTCCATCTGGCTCATGAGCTGCCTCAACAAAGCTGGGGTATTTGTCTGAATTCCAGTGAACAACGTGGAGCTGAAAGGGAGGAACACAGCATAATTCAAATGCTTTTTTTAAACACCCTTAAAAACATAAACGCAAATAAAACATTTATATAGATCTTCTGGTGTTGTGCACTTATATGTATAATGTCCAGAATCCTCTTCTTTACTTTTGTCTAAAAACTAAAGTACACAGGTGAAGGACCATGTCACTTTGGTCTGTGGTGTACTGTGCTGAAGTCCACATCACTAGAAGGCTCTGGAGCATCCTGTCAAGCCTCTCCAGCCCTAACAATCTCCAACCATGGCTCCCCCATGTCCACAGATGGGACTGCAATTGTGCAGCCTTCAATTAGACCCCAGCTGGCAGCTGAGTCCAACACACGAGCGCAGGGTCATAGGCAAGTGGAGAGAAGTCAACCTCCACACAGTAGGTATTTGGGGACAATCCTGCTGCTGAGGACAGCGCCAGTTGTTCCTGAAACTGCCAGTCAAATGTTCATCACTGCAGTTTAAGACTTTTTATGGCTTGAAAATGCAAATTCTCCTTAGGGGTAATTATTTTTAGCAGTATTTAAACATTTTCTAACTTCTAAGAATATGTTCAGATCCTCTGTTGAGAGCAAGTTTTAAGAGGGAAAAAGAGGCTTCAGGGTCTTGTAAACAGAGGCATCTGAGGAAGAAAATGAGAGGCAGCTGGTGCTACTGATGAGGGGGGGAAAAAAGAAGGAAGAGACAAGGAGTTGGAGAACCTGGAACTCTAGAAAACAGGCTTCACCCACTTCACAACTTCCAAAGGTGTCCTAAATGTCCTACAATAGTAAACAATGCAGTATCCCAAACTCACAAACAAGCGTGAAGGGTTGTAGAATGACAGTAAGGCAGAAGACTACTCTTAGAGGGTCTTCATTCCTGGTTAAGGGAAGGACAAACTGAGATAGAATCCAGAGGGCAATGCAGGCACCCAAATGACTTGGCCAAGATCATTACTCGACCATGTTGTCCAAGGACCCTCCATGAAGGATGGACTTCAGATAAGACCTCTTTCAAATGAGTACTTTTGGCACCTCGGGGAGGAAACACTTATTTATGAAAGGTTTCATGCACAAATCACCTTTCTGACTGTTACAGAGAGAATTTAGTATATTCAAATGAATATTTTTATCCCTTCCTTTAAATATAACTTCACATCTCACAGGCAACTAATATGGGAGGCTTTCTAGATAAATAAGAGTTACCATAAACTGGGAACTGTAAAACTATAAAATAGTGCACCATTCACAAACAATCAAGGAAGACTGTGGCATATCTAGATGGAAAATACAAAAGCAGATTCTTCTGGTGCCATGTTCTATGTTGATGTCAGATAGCTGGGAGAGGCACAAAGCCTGAAAACATTGGATGACGAAACAAAATTCATGTGGCTCACATGAGACAGATATGTTGCACTGTAAGGGAGAGGTAGGAAAGTATGCTAAAGTTGTTTTAAGTGGCTCCTTGCCAACATAGTTCACTTTGTAAGAGATGACACCAAAGAGATAGAAAGATGTGAAATGCCCTCTTCATGTTCACAACTCCAACAGATTAGAAAATTAATGTGTAACTAAAGAGACATGAATCTATCTGTATGTCCTTCCACTGGTTAAAAACAACAATTGTTTGAAATATTATAGGAGACTAAAGCAAGAAAAATGTTTTGTTTTTTAAACAAGTCCTTCTCTCTGCCACACACTTTGCTTAACTGGCAGCAGTATCTTCAGAGCCACTGATATCAGCTTTATTAGCATTTGTATTTGAACTAAAACTCAAACAAACAACAAACTCACATTTCCTAACAGTGACAGCCACAGTGATTTGAACTGAATGAAAAGAAGTTACAGTAGCCACTGCAAAAATGGAAATAAGGGCTTCCCTGGTGGCGCAGTGTTTGGGAGTCTGCCTGCCGATGCAGGGGATGCAGGTTCTTGCCCCGGTCCGGGAGGATCCCGCATGCCGCGCATGCCACAGAGCGGCTGGGCCCGTGAGCCATGGCCGCTGAGCCTGCCCGTCCGGAGCCTGTGCTCTGCAACAGGAGAGGCCACGGCAGTGAGAGGCCCGCGTACTGCAAAAAAAAAAAAAAAAGATGGAAATACGATTCTTCCCTATTGGAAAGCAATTTCTAAATAATAGTATTTTTCAACTTTAGTATTTTTAAATTGCATACTATTGCTACATAAAATGTGCTCATTAATGTCGAAATTGTAATTTTACTATCAACTACATATTTAATACACTCATTATGTATTTGGCATAAATTGTAATCAGATAAAGTTCCAAATATGCAGTGAACTATTAGCCTACTTTTTGTAGATAGGTCACTCTCAGGATAAAGTCTTTCATGATTTAGATTACTTTAATCTCTGTAATGTCACAAATCATTAGATTAGGCTCCAAACTAAATTTTTATAGGTTACAGCTTTAAATGTCTTTTTTCCTTTCATTTTTTTCTTCTTTTTTTTTTTTTTTTTTTTTTTTTTTTCGGT